GCAGGCAGCGGATACAGTCCCTCTGCCCTTCCCACCTGCCAGCTCTGCGCCCGGCTGGGCTTAACAGTTCACAGAGCCCCAGGGTCTAGGGAGAAAGTCACGTGCATCCTAGGACAATTTAAAAAAAGCAGCAGAAAGCCAAGGAGAGACACTGAGGAACAATAAAGCCTACAAGTTGACAGGATGCTACTTGCACACAACCTCCCAGGTCAGAATTTAGCATTCAGAACCAGGAAGGGGGGAAAACGGTTTCAATACGTCAATGAGAAAAGTACGTGCTTTCTTTTTAAAAAATGACTCACTAAAATAAAGCATTCCTAAATATAGATGTTTATGAGTTCCAGGGTAGCCAGAAACAAGTTGCATTTTCTAGGAACGGAGATTGCCACACACTGAACACATTAGAGAAAGCTATTTTAAATGAATGGGCAAATGTTTCTGCAGAAAGGATTTGTTCATTGACAACAGAAACTCAAGTCTCATGCATCCAGAGTGCATCATTTCCAGAATGCGTTTTTGCTGCTACAATATGTTTTTCTAGTTGTTTGCTTCCGAGAACGGCATTTAAGAACATGCCTTTCTCTCTGTTAATGAACAGGGTTGGCCGCCTGCTGGGTGATCACTGAACCCCGATGAACAAAGGGCTTTTACTTTAGCTTCTGCTCCCCCTTAAGCAGATTCTTCAAACTGACTTTTATTTCTCATGATGCGAGTGGACAAGAATTAGGTAAATGGCCCCTCCAAATACCAGGGAGTGCCTGCCTTGGCTTGCAGGGAAGACTTCTCTAGCATGGAGATATGCAGGGCTTGTTTTTGCAAAGCCTCTCAAATGGGCTTTAAGGGTTGTTGTTTTTTTCCTTCTTTTTTTTTTTAAATCTAAAGACACATTTTTTGGACAGATTGGGTAGAGGTCATCAACTAAATCGTAGTTCAAGGAAGTTCATCATTCATCACGGTGACTGATGAGATGATACCTTTGAGGGGGGTCCTCCCACTCACTGCAAAGGGTCCCTTGAAGTTTGAATAGATTTGTGGGCCTGGCCTGGTCTTCTATGTGTCTCACTGCCATTGTGTGCCATCGAGTTGATTCTGACCCTCAGTAAGCCCATCTATGACAGAGGAGAACAGAGGGAGGATGGTGCTCTGCATCGACTCGGATGCATGCAACACCTGGCCAAGGAGGGAGGAAGGCTGGAGGAGAATGGATGTATCTGAATGACGGTCTTGGTAAAGAACCCTAAATATGCTACAGATGTCAGAAGAACAAACAAATCCGTCTTGTAAGGAGTACAGCCAGAATGCTCTCTAGGACGGTGAGAATTTGTCTCATGTTCAGGTGATCAGGAAGGACCAGTTCTTGGAGAAGCGTAAGTTGGAAAAGTGGAGAGTCAATAAAAAAAGAGGAAGATCCTCAAGGAGATGAAGAGACACAGTGGGGGCAACAACAGGCAACATAACAACGACTGGGAGGATAGCGCAGTGTTTTTGTTTTGTTTTGGTGTGCAAAAAACCCCAAAACTATGAATTGACACCATTCCAAAGGGCATCTAATAGCAACATTTATGGGAGACACTGGTGACCTTAAACTACCCGCTGAGGTTAGAGGCTTTCCAAATCTCTACCTTCAATCCTGAACTTTCCTTTAAGTTCCCAACTAATATGTCCAACTGTGGTCTTTCGCCCATCAACTTACCTATCACCGGAGTGCCTGTCTATCAAGGCCTCCTCTCCTGAAACTCAACTTTCCCTTCCAACCCTGCTCCTTCTCCAGAAGGCCTATCTCAGCTCATGGCACCACTATAGCCTCACACCTCACATGCAAATCGGACGCTGGCCTGCTGACAATCGTTGCTCTAAGCACAGAACAATGTGGCAAGAGCTGATCAATTAATCCCATTTTATTTGCGAGGAAACTGAGGGTCAGAGCTGTGCTAACTTGCCTACAGCCATAGAAGCAGGAAGCCGTTGAGCTGGGAGTTGAGTGGAGCGTGTGTGATCTGAAAGTGTATGTTATTAATAGATCATCCCTTTCACTGTGTGGCTGCCCAGCTCTCCCAGGTCTGACACTTAGGACGACACCAGATCTTCCTCACTAAGCTGTACAGATTCCATGAACCTATGATCTCTCACCTGCTTCCTTCTCTGAATTCTCAGAGTGACCTACTGTTCCAGTGGCTTCTGCCTCTACTACTGGCCTCCACATGACTGTGACCAGAAACGCAGGGATTTCAGTTTAGGTCTGTGATTCCTGACAGCTTTTCTTTCTAGCCCATTTGCCACAGGAGGCCAGCTTCGAAATGCTGTTATCCTGGTCCACTTGCAGGCAGGAGCAGCCTCAAGAAGTCTGTCTTTGTTAACTTCTAAACCCAACCAGGAGATTCTGTTGGGCATCCAGGAGGGGAGGAAGGGAGAACAAGGAGAACAAGGAGAACCAGGCTCTGCTCCCCAGGCAATGGGAGAACATTTGTGGGAGCGGCCCCAGGAGTGTGCACAGGGAGGCCCAACCTCAGGCAAGAGGTTTCCAACTTACACTTCAGCCAATGCCAGGCGGAGAGCTGCGGGGTTTCAAAATACCACTATCCTGATAGCCTGAAGACGTCGGGCTGAGCCCCCTCCCCAGATGCCAAGGAAATCTCCACGTTCTAAAGCCAGGTTCTATTCCCCAAGAGGGAATACCAAAACCCCAACTCAATCAGTTGCTGTCAAGTTGATTCAGGCTCATGGCAACTGTATATGGCTCAAAAGACAACTGCATTCCCCAGGGTTTCCAATGGCTGCTTTCTGGGGAAACAGATCACCAGGCATTTCTCCCAAGGCTCCTTTGGGTGGATTCTAACCATTGACCTTTTGGTTGGGAGGCCAGCTCATAAGCATTTGCACTACCCAGAGACTCCTAATGGGAGTAGGAGGCACCTAGAAATGCCTGAAATGCAATTTCCCTCTAGATTAACAGAATCAGGTAGAAGTCTCAATTAAGACAGATATGTGACATTTAAAAAAGCAAGAATGCCTCCATAGTTGAAGTTATGAGATTCAGACTTGTGGAGCCCTCGGTAAGGTGCTAAAAATCTTGGACAAGTGCCTATCTGAGCTATAGATCAGCTGCAACTGCTGGCACTAGATATTTTAAAACATCTAGAAAAACCCTATTGCAGATGGATGCGGACTTTGTAACAGCTGACCTGTAGACAGTCCTGTGGTTTAAAACTCTCCCTGGCAGACTGCGAAGGAAGGAAGAAACCAAGGACAGATGTTAGCATGCGGTTATTCACAAGATTAACCCCTGGGAACCCTAGGCAAATACCTAGAAAGGGAGAGGCAGTGAAAGTTAACTTAAGACCTTTATCTTAAACTCTGAATTACTTAAAAAGAGAAAGTGGAACGAGAAGAGAGAAACCAGTGCAGCTGGTCTTGAGGTTCCCATTTCCAAGCCTAGACATGCCTCGGAGCAACCTGCTGGGGTAGGGGGTGGGGCTGTGGATTTCCCTAAGATGGAAATGACGGTGCATGTTAGACACTGAGGTGCTTGCAGGGAGGGGAGATTCCCTTTCTAGAAGAAGGGATATCAGTCCTTCATGTGACAACTGCCTTCATTCAAAGATGGTGCAGTAAGGATAAAGAGATGTGAACCACATGGAAGGTCTAGTGGAATTCCGATCACGAGGTCCGATCAGCGGAAATGACTGTCACTCCCCTTCTGCGGCTGAACATGGGGGACTTTCAGAAGGTCTAAAGGTGCTACAAACCAGAGAGGATTCTAGGTAAGTCAAGTTATGTCAGTCCTCGGACGGAGATTAAAGCTTTTCATGCCAAGAGCTCTGCTTAGAAGAACCAGATGCTCAAGAAACAGCAGTAGGGGACCCAATTTCTCCTGTCAAACAGGCACAGCCCTAGTCTGCCAGGCATGTGGGGCACGAGGCACATCCAGAGGAAGAGAACTTGAGAGACAAGGAGCTGCCTGGCCAGCAAGCGCCCTGTCTGGGAAGCAGAACATTCCCAGTGGTTAAATGCTCCACTGCTAACTGAAAGGTCGGGAGTTCAAACAGACCAGCTAATCCAAGGGAGAAAGAGGTGGCCTTCTGCTTCCTGCGAGATGACAGTCAATGGACACCACATAGAGGAAGCGCTCCTCTGCCATACAGAGTAGCCATGAGTCAGAATCAACTCCCGAGCAACGGCTGTTCTAGAGAGAGACCTCAGACAGTGGACCTAATAGTGTATGCTCCTGGGATGATTGCTTTTATACAATAAAACGGGCAAGTGGTAATTCTCATAGCAAAATGCCTGTGTACAAAAAAGTACTATTAATGGACTATTGATGTTTCCCCAGAAAAATATTTTCTAAAGTGTTCTAAATTTTCCCAGAATCAGAACTAACAATACTGTTAAGTACTTGGGATGAATCAGAGGCAAATGAGAGCCACTTCAGGGAAACAACCCAAGGTAACTATGGTCTTAATGCATTTTCAGTTTACATGTGCAGAGACTGTGCGTGCGTGCGTGTGCGTGAGAGAGAGAGAGAGAGAGAGAGATCAATC